AGTACGAACCATTTTATTCTGCTCTACTGCACATAGATTTTAAAATCCGCACTTTTATGGACGTCCGCCTTTTTTTGATATTTTGCACTACCAAAGCTAACAAAAATAATTTGTGTTTTTGACGCCCATCACCGGTAGCGGCGTTTCACACATCGTGCCTAACAAAGAATGCATATCTTACCCCGTACTACAAGTTTCTTTCGAGATGAATGGTAGGCAATTGGATAAGGAAGAAGATGTGTCCAGCTTTCACACTCTTACAGGAGTCTATCTTCCAAGGTAAGAAGTAGCAACCAAAAGGAGGATAATTATAGTGGGCATAGGCCAATCAGTTGTCGAATGTGATCAGGTCATCAAGGTGCAACTATCGTAGGCCGAGGACCCTCGAAAGCCGAGAAGCTGACGCTTGAGGCATGGTAACTCCTTCAACAGGCATTTAGACCGTCCCGCGGCCTACAAAGTCTTATGCCCTTATGTGAGAAAAGGACAGATCAAGGACAAACTTAACGTCAGAATTGCAAGCGAAGACCCCACGACGAACGGGCCGGATGAGGAGGCAGGATCACCGTGCTACACTAATTGTTGTTTATGACCCCAAACCACTCCCGACATGCTTGGCAGTTAATTAGCCTGTGCGACTATAATTACTCCTTCCACATCCTTTTTAGTTGCTGTTTTTTACGCCTTGACGACCTCATGACCTCTGACAGTTGATTGGCCTATGCCCACTATAGTTAGCTTCCTTTCGGCTGTTGCTTCTTATCCCTGAAGGTGCACTCCTGTAAGAGTTCCAGAACTCAGGAGAATAAACCAATTGATCCCGTGCTTGACAAGCTTTCTTCCTTATCCATGCAAATACCTGGAACGCGAACGTTTTAATTCGTTGCTAGATGCTTATTTAGGGAGGAAAACTTATTTTGGAACAATATTACTCACTGGTTGTTTTTGTATCAGGTAATCACGCAAGTGGTTAATGACGGTGAATAATGTAACATGAGTTATGTCTATGTCCGCAATCACAACGAGTTGTACGCTTGACAGGAGCTACTCTCTCTGCACTGTATCGGACACATGTTTCCGGATTTAAAATTCCCCAAAATAGCTCAGTTGAATTTAGCCAACTTCACGGATGCCCGACCTGCGAAAAA